ATGTAAAATAATTATATATGTACATAAATTACATACAACATGTTGCAGAAATAATGAACATCAGTAAAAGAAAGAAAAAGAAAAAAAGAAAAAAGAAAGAAAAAAAAAAAAAAAATATATATATATATATATATATATATATATATATATATATATATATATATATATATATATGAGCAAGTAATTATTTCTTCGCAAATGCCCAACAAAATCAGTTGGTTTTATGTCTTGTTCTCCCTTGCTAACAAGAGCTAGGATGTGCCTATATTTATAATGATCCCCATTTACAGCAAAACATGTGCTGTTAAAGAAAATAAAAATCATATTTAGAATACAATACAGACATTTGATGACAAATCTCTTTTACATTAGAGAAAACATAACTGATGTCTTTGTTTGCTATTTGTTGGGTTTTCTCCTCCGTCACATAAAATGTTGATACTATTCAAACTTTAAATAGATATGCCAGAGTTTAACAAAAATAACTCATCTCCCAAAAGTAATATGTAAAATAACTTGTACTTACAAAATTTACAAACTTGAGACCTTTAATGAACACAGCTTTCTTTCTGTACACATATGCATGCAAATAGATGCACACAATACATCCCTTGCCAACGTATGCTATTCCCAGCATCCCTGAGCCAGTAACTTGCACCAACTATAATACTAGTCAGTCAAATTTTCAGTCAAATACGCTGAGTGTATTGGGAAGTTAGTAGCAATTATATGATTAAATACATCAATCTTGTAATTGTTTGGCTCTTTTGTGCATTACTCTTATATAAACACATTGTAAATACTTAAAAAACATAAATTTACCACATTAGTCAAGCATATTAATTCATCTTAAGTATTTGAAAAACATTATTTAAAAATAATTGTCATTTTATTGTCTAAAATATGATTTATATATTCTACTATTTTATGAAACTTCTCTACACAGAGATGTCAAGTCCTGAAAAAGTCTTTTTCTGCACATAATTAGGAGAAAAAACTGGCACTTTCATCAATCTAAAAAAAAGGATTGAACAGAAAAAATAAAATGGGACTATTATAACCTTACTTGAAAATAAATGGGGGAAGTAATTTTAACATTGCTCAATAAAATAAAACTAAAAAATATCCAGACTTTCAATAATAATTCAGAATTATTTCATTTTTCTCAATGGCAAATAAATTCCCAGTATAGCTCATCAGCTAAGTAAGGATAAAAAATGACCTGGCATCAGATGTCCCTCATCATCCCAATTAAACCCTGTAACAAACTCTGGGCTTCTTCTGTCCTGTCTGTCTTTTCTGTAAACTCCTTGTGAATGCATGCTAATAGGCAATAGATTCGAGTTACCGTTTGTGCTTCTCAAGGTACAAGAATTCCTAATGTCTAACGATGAAGAAAGGATTGTCTCCATCCCGAACTGTGTGTGTATGGGAAGCAGCCTTTGTCTGTTGGCTACGTCTGCACCACTCTTCGCGACTGTTTCTTGCACTGTTTCAGGGCCTTTTGCATCCCTATTCCTCATAGCTTCTTCATCGCAATGACTCAGGACTACCACATTGTCTCCAGGCGGTCTTTGCAACGGTTGTTTGCCTAAGACTAATTGACTAGTTTCAGAGGAATTTCTTATTTCCTCTCTGTGTATCTCTGACTGATCAGTATTTACACAAAAAGCATTATCATTTTCTCTAGCATTACCCTCTTTTTCCCTTGTAATTTCTTGTTCTCCCACTGACTCACTGTAAGTTTTCTTTGGGGCATGAATACCTTTCTTAATTACAAATGACACTGGGGCTAAAAAAACACATATATGGGGAGTGACTGGGTCCGTATGACATTCATAGGTGACATATACTGTTTTTGCATCCAAAGTACTATTTTTCTTCAACACTGTAATGTGTGTGCTCCCATACGTGATATTATCATTCAGTTGCTGCTGCCTCTGCTGCTGCTGCTGTTGTTGTTGTTGTTGTTGCTGTTGATGATGATGTTGTTGTTGATGTTGTTGCTGTTGCTGTGATGATGTTGATGTTGCTGTTGTTGTTGTTGTTGTTGTGCTGTTGTGATGATGTTGTTGTTGATGTTGTTGTTGAAGCTGTTGTTGATGTTGCTGTTGATGATGTTGTTGTTGTTGTTGATGTTGATGTTGATGCTGCTTCTGTTCTTGTTGTAGTTGTTCTTGTTCTTGTTGGTGCTCCTGTTCTTGTTGTTGTTGCTGCTCTTGTTGTGGTTCTTGCTGTTGTTGTTGCCCTTCTTGCTGATGCTGTTGTTGTTCTTGCCCTTCTTGCTGATGCTGTTGTTGTTCTTGCCCTTCTTGCTGATGCTGTTGTGTTTGTGGCAACTCTATCCATATACTTGGCTGATGGCCTGGCTGCTCCTCCTCTGAATTCCCTCGTTTCTTCCGTGGACGCATTGTACTCTCTCTCTCCAACCTCATCAGTAGCTGACGCTGTCTCTCCTCTGCCTCCAAAGTATGGTTCTCCTGCTGGGTTGGATGCTGCCCAACATCTGTACCATCAATGAATCCCGCAAATTTGTAGAGTGCAAGAGCTAGCTGAAGATCTGTTGCAATTTTCTCGGTGAACTTGGCAAAGATGGACAAGGCAGGAAGTAAGAGTACTCTATTCCCCTCTGCCTTCTCTATGATCTTCTGGCAAGCTGCTCTAAACTTCTTGAGCACATCTGTAATAAAGGTCGTAAAGTTAATCACTTGTTTGTTAAAAGGCCAGCTGTTTTTTTGTTTTGTTTTTTTTGACAGACAATACAACACAAACAGATACTATAGACTGATGGACAAACAGAATGACAGACAACAGCAGTAGCAATATAAGTGGGAAATAAATCAAGAGACAGGGAAAAAAAACTGCCCTGCAAATCATCAAGAAATACCTGTACAAAATACAAAAGAACAAAGGAAAGCAAGTGAAGGAGGTTAGTGAAAAATTATTTCTATGAAAGCCATATATCTTACTTACCTCTGGCTGGATTTTTGCTACGTTTCATTCTCTTCTCCTCATTGACAGCCTTGATTGCTAAGGACAGCCGTTCTTCAGGTGAAGGCAAAGTTCCTAAGGGATCTGTAACTTCTGCCATACCAGTCACTTGCTCTGAAGGTACATCAGTGCCACTATCACTGACTTCATTACAGTTTGGCTCGGGTGACTGGAGATAGTCCCTAGAGACTTCCATTTCAACATCAACAAACAGTGGTTCTGAAGACTGAAATGTGTTATCAGATACATGCACTGAATCATCCAAATTATTTATAGCTACCATATCTATGTCTTCACTATATTCAGTAACATCACTCATGGGTTCTGGGCCGGTATTCCTTTCCTTCTCTGGAATTTCCTCCATACTGTTTGCTAAATCTAAGAAAAGATTCATGTCATCAATTGGCTCCAGGACTTCAACATTCTCACAAGAAATGGGTAATTCATCTATGGGTTGATCACGCACTGGGGATGATGCACAACTTATTTCTCTATGTTCACTTGTGTCATTCTCTGTTGTAGGACATAAGATCAGGCTTTCAGAGACTGGCTGCTGTTCATTCCCTTCTATTTGTTCCAGAACATCCGTTATACTGTCGTCAGGGAGTATTACTTTATCCCGAACTGCCGGTGGTGTCGGTGAAATGCAGTCATCCCTTGCCAGAATGTCCTCCACAATCAGGCACTCTGGATCTTCTTCCATGCCACTGATCTGCAAGGGATCTTCGCAACTGCTGTCGACATTTAGGTCATCTATGATTTCCATCATATCACACTCTTCATCCACAGGAGTAACATCATCTGCACATGCCACAAGTAGAGACTCCTCCTCTACGTCAATAAAGATTGGTTCCTCACGGATGCTGATCAACTGTGCACTGTCCATGACAAAATGGTAAGGTAACTTGTACTTTGGAAGAAGGTCATGTCCTTAAAAGAAAGAAAAAAATGAAGCTCAATCATTAATGTGTCAAATAAAAGTTTATTTCTGTTAGTTTGTCTGTTTGTCTAGTTGTCTGTTTTATCAAAACTTCATAGTCAGCAGACCATTAACTGAGCTAAGCTAGACTATTACTTATTATGATCATCATTATAATAACAGTTATTACCATTCCCATTACTAAAAAATTGTCATTATTTCTATTATTATTACTACAACTATTAATAGTAGTAGTGATCTCCTTGGTCATTCCTCTCATCCTTATCACCAACTGTTTTCATCATCACAAAGAAAAACTGCAATGTAAAACATGTACCCCTTAAATATAAAAAAAAAGCACACATTCACCACACAACTATCTTTCATTACCATACCTGTTGCTATGTACTTCATGGACTTTTGAAAGTTCACATCATATTTCAAGTGAGGGATGAAGGAAAATAAATTGTACTTGCAGATCACAGACGCCTGATGCTGGCAAGGCCCCCCCTTGCGACCTACATTACAGGAGCATACGCAAGCAAAGACATCAAGGCTGTACTTCTCTGTCATGCTGTCTTTGGTGGTGACAACATAGTAATCTTCATTTAGCTGGAATGATGACACATATGGAGTGTGTTATAGAATTAGTAAAAAAAAGGAAAATAATAAAAATCAAAATAACAATACTTTCAAATCTTAAAATAATGATAACAACAATAATAATACAAAAAAAAGATGATGATAATGATGATGATGATGATGATGATGATGATGATTAATATCATTATTGCCATTATTATTATCATCATCATTATCATTATCCTCATAAGGATAATAATTACAAAAACAAAATAAATAATAAGAGTAACAATAATAATAATAGTAATAACAATAGTAACAATAACAACAACCATAGTAATAACAAGAACAAAAACAATAATAACAATAACACAATCAACAAAAGGAATTACATCAACAAAATACCAGTAATAATAATAATAATGATGATAATGATAACAATTATCATATAAATTGTACATAAATAAATAAAAAAACATACAGTTAATAACATGTAATCATATTTGAT